CGCTGAAGGACAGATGGTCGGGTTGACAACAGTATGATGATATTCACCCAAATCACTTCTATGTCTGGGGGAGATAAAGAAATATTAAAGGAATATGAGGAAATGTTTGAGTGTGTTGTTTTTCCTTCATATGTTACCGTATTGTTTATAAAATCTGGTGTTTTGACCTACTGTAGATGCCATACACACACACACACACACACACACACGAAAGAAAACATCTGGCAGTAGTAGTATTAACCTGCGCGATGATCGTTTACGTAATTTATGGCGCTGAACAGGATGTAGAGGCTGGCTGTAAACAGTAATACTCTGGTTAATCAGATAAATGCTAATGAGGCGTGTTTACCCAGCCAGGTGTGTAGCAGTAAAGAGGAACTCCCCCGAAACAAATGCCAGGTGTATGTAGGTACGTGAGGGAAGGTGTCAGGCTTGTAGGAACACCTGAAGATTAGTTCACCCCAAAGTTATTTCACCAGAAGATTAACTACAACACAGCCTATGGAGGTTAGGTTAGTGCAAGGCTGGACTAGGTTAGATAATGTTTGGTTAGTATTAGACTATGCTTAGTTAGATTAAGTTTGTTTTGGTTAAGGTTAGGTTAGCTTAACGTTAGGAGGGTTACCGGTAATTAATCTTCAGGTGAAATATGCTGGGGTGTCTAATCTTCAGGTGATCTCAGGTCGTATAACAAGCACGTGACTGAAGCATACATTATGGAAGCTGAACATGTACACGTCATCTTAAGACGAATGGCTTAGAATTTGTTTTGAAATTTGTCTTTATTCAGAGTCGTGATCAAGTCATAGCCTCAGCCATTTAGTCCCAAACACGACTTAAACAAACCCATATAGGGAAGCTTAGGTCCGGGTTCTCAGAAGGTTCATTTATTTACGGTACTGTTGTATTGTTGACGTCATTTTTAACAGGTAATTTCCTAAAAGTATAAGTCAATTTAATCTGATGGAAAGTTTAATGTGTGAATCTTTCGTAGTCCGGCTCCTCACGTGAACCCAAAGCATCGTATAAGTTTTCCAGCCGACTTCCTCGTGGGGTCGAGACATTGTTGCGGCCTTTTAAACATTCTATTATCGTATTTGGTTTTGGGCAGACGATGTCGTACACGGCAGAGTGGTGGCTCGGGCGGCTGTTATGGCCTGTATATTCATGTTGACTTGGCTGTTCCCTCGTGTTGCAGCGTGTCTCGTGTTTAAAGCAACGCTCATCTTGTGAACCACAGGATGTCTTGCTCGCAATTTTGCTGGGTTGCCGTCAAGAATTTATTCCAGATTCGTCCAGCTTGGCTAACATAAAATTGCCATTAAATATTTGTGATTGTCCAGGGCTCGGGTTGTTGCTGCGTGGATTCTGTAGGCCACCACTGTATTTGTCTGAGGTACTGTAGGTCAGAAGTGGTCATTACATAGATTATTATTCCCTCAATATACCGATAATTTATTTGTTGTGTTGGAATAGACCTTAACAAATGATCAGTTTTAGAAGCTACGTATAATATTATTACACGATTTTTTTTTTACAATAAAGTCTTTCTTAATATTTCTTCTTATTATTCTTTTTTCTCTTCGTTCTCTTAGTCTTCGTTTCTCGTCTCTTTGTACCGTAATACAAAGAAAAGGTCAATGGGACTTTTCTTTTGTAGGGCCACAAGAGGGCTGGAGTATATTTTATCCACATTTGTTGCTTTGTTTGGTAAATACAAGAGGGTTAGAGACGATATTTTATCCCGGTGTGTTGTCACAAACAGGTCTGCTTTTGATTCCTTTGAGGAGCGGAGGTGACAGGTCGGTGGGGCAGACCTACCCTGGCCCTTGCCCCCGGGAGGGAACATAACTGGCCGGATTAGCTTGTCCTCCATGGCCCCTTCTCCACGCCACACCACACGACCTCGCTATCCTATACCCATAATACCTTGACTTGAGCTTACACGCAAACCATACCAACGTAACACTACCCACGCCATCATCATCACCACCACCATCACCACCACCACCACCACCCATACCCACTACACCCTATCTTGTTCCTACACTACCCAAAGTTTCCCTTACACTATCTGGACAACCCCACGCAGTGTCCTGGCTACACCACTACACCCACCCCTACACCTCCACTATACTACCCGTACGCCCCATGCAATGTCCTGGCTACACCAAAGGCCAGAGAGCCACCACCTGCTGGCTCCAGGCACGATGACCTCACTGTTGTGTCAGGTTGAGAGTTTACGTTTGTAAATGTATGTATGTAAAGGGGTCCTCAGGCTTGCTTATGTGACCTTCATATCCCTGGGTAAAGGTTTTGTTATTATTATTATTATTATTATTATTATTATTATTATTATTATCATTATTATTATCATTATTATTATTATTGTTATTGTTATTATTATTATTATTATTATTATTATTATCATTATTATTGTTATTATTATTCTTGTTGTTTATTATTATTTTGTTATTTTAAATATTTTAATGTTGCTTTGTAATGAAATTGTTTAGCATTAATTGCCATCAGTTACTGTTGAGAGTTATGTATTTTAGTTTGTGTGTGTGTACATACGTGAAGTCTGCGTGCGCACGTGTGTGTGTGTGTGTGTGTGTGTGTGTGTGTGTGTGTGTGTGTGTGTGTGTGTAGTATGTTTTGCCGTGACTCAATCCCAGTAAAGTTGACGTTCTTTGTACCTGACAATAACACTGGAACACTGGCACACAAAAGGCATGAGGGTACGCACACACACACACACACAGACACACACACACACACACACACACAGGTAGCAAGGGCAGGATAGATCAAAGAACCTGAAATCATCTCATGGTAAAATCTAGGTAAATCAGCAAGGTGGGGGGGGGGGCTGGGAGGGGAGGAGGGGGGCTGGCAGGGGAGGAGGGAGAACCTTTTATAACTTCTAGGTAATTTAATTTCTACATAGATACTTCAAGTGAGAGATATGGGAGTGGTGGTAGGGAGGAGGGCGAGTGGGTAGTGGCAGGTAGGGAAGTGGGGACAGTGAGGGAGGGAAAGAGGTAAGGAAAGAGTCCATAATTATCTCAAGGAAATTTCTAGGCAACTACTGGAACAGGAGAGAGTGGGGGTGGTGGGAGGGAGGTCGAGCATTTGGCGTTTGATGGAGGGAAAAAAACCCACCACTTCTCCTCTCCCAGTCATTGTGTGGCAAAGGATTGAAATTATGACTTGGTCTGAATGTAGTAAAGGTGAGAGGGAGAGGTGAGAGGGGGGAGGAGAGGGAGTGAGTGGGGGAAATGATTTAACGCTTCTCATGGCGGTTTGGAGGAATATAAAAGATTTTTATTAATTTTTTTGGAGGTTGGGGATTAAATAGATGAGTTGAAAATTAGGAAGGAAAGGTAATTAATTACTGGGGAAGTGAAGAGAGAGGGATGACTATATTGGTTTCGGGTGAATCTGAATGGAGAGTGAAGGAGGGAGGAAGGAAGGAAGGATGGATGGATAGATAGATAGAGTGGGCGAGAAAACGAATTACTGAGAGATGACAAGAAATTGGACAGAGTGAAGGTTAGATTAGGTTAATTTGGATCATTTTTATTTTGCAGGGGGTTAGGTTAGATTAAATTAAACTAGGTTAGGTTATACTAAGCTAGGTTATATTAGGTTAGTTACGATTTTTAGGTGGGGAAAAACTGAATTGTGTTTAAAATCCCCAGCTGCCCGTGACAGTAGCTGAGGGTGTGCAGAGGAGAGAGATTACGAAGAGGATAACAAAGGCGAGGAGATACATACGATAACGAAGACAAAAAACGATAGGATAACGAAGAAGAGAATAAGAGTGAAATATAACGTTGATATTTGTGTTAACAGACGTAAAGAGAGAGAGAGAGAGAGAGAGAGAGAGAGAGAGAGAGAGAGAGAGAGAGCCAATATAGTTTACACCGCGTTTTAGCTCCTTTAGGTATACAGTGTGTGTGATGGAGCTGACAGAAGACACGGTAGGATGAGGGTGTTAAAAATGTTGTATGGACTGGGGGTGTAAAGGGTGACTATAGAGATAATAACAATAGCGGGACAAGTACAGGGATGTGTGAGTGATGTGTCGTAGGGATGGTGACGAGGGATTTATTGTGTGTGGTGGGATGGATAGGGAGGTGGGTAGGGGGATGAATAGGAGAGTGGATAGGGTGGTGGATAATGGGATGGTGTAAGGATGGGAATTAAATTAGGGTTGTTGTTGTGTAATTGCTTGGTGGATGGACTAGGAAAAAAGGCTTGTGTTAATAGACAGTGGGACAGAACTGCGTGTGTGTGTGTGTGTGCGTGCGTGCGTGCGTGTATGCGTGTGGTGAAGGGTTAGAAGAGCCAGGTGGCAGTATTCACTCAAGCGAGGGACTCCTGACTGTACTAGAACATCAGGTGTACTTTATTACAAGGCCTCGGGCGGCCACAAGACAGCGTAAAGTGAGGGATAAAGTGTGAGAGCCAAAGCTGCTTTCACTTGTGCACAGCAGCAGCTCAGCCGTGACCCGTACGTTATCACTTAAGTCAGCAGGACAAAGGCAGATAACCTGATGAGATTACAAATACATGTTGATAAAGTTATAATTTTTACTTAATATCTAAACTGTATCAAAGGTACTTTTATCTACACTGGCAGGTTTACATTAATTAGATGACATACATGACCAAATATTTCAGCATCAGGTGACACAGGTGTGCACTAATAAGGGGAGGTGGGGTTCTGCCTGTAATATTATGCAGGAAATATGTCGAATAAATTAATGCTCACATATTATATTAAATATTTATGTATGTTATGAAATTCATAGATTTTTTTTAATGTTTGTAGTTTTTATGTCCAAGGAAAATAAATATTCATAAGTATTTTTTTAGTGAAAGGCCAATGTTTGTATTTACCTGTTAATGATAGTGGGTAAGTCTGATATTAGTCATAATTTATCTTTTAATTATTACATTATACTAAATTTGCATTTTGTTTGTGCCCGCAGGTGTAGTGGTGGTGCGTGGTGTTGATGGGCGGGCGTGGGCGGGAGCAGCGCCCCCCGCGGCAGCATGTGTGAGTGTGGCTCCACAGACGACGCCCCCGGCCCGGCCCGCAGGCCCGCGCGGGTGGACCAGCAGGCGGGCCACTCCGCGGGCCACCCACACCGCCGGAGAGGAGGGATGGGGACCTGTTGTGGGCGTGAAGTGAGGGGAGTGGGCGTGAGTGTTCTAGTCTTACTGGTGTTACTGTGTGTGGGGTGTGTGGCGGCGGGGCACCGGACACACCGGGCCAGCGGTGCCACCGACACCCATCACCACACCAGCAGTATAGTGGCGCAATTCTGGACGGCCAACCAAAGTTTGCAGCTGCAGCACATGGTGTACAACAGAGACGCGGGCGTCCTGTATGTAGGAGGAACCAACAGGCTCTGGGCGTTAGAAATCAACAAACTGAACTTGGAGGCGCGAGTGGAAACGGGGCCCAGGTTCGATTCCCCTGGGTGCCATGCATCAGGTTGTGGGGTAGAGAACCGCGTGAAGCAGGTCCTCACAGACAACATCAACAAAGTGCTGGTACTCGACCCAGACGCATCAACGCTAATCATGTGTGGCTCCGTGTCTCAAGGAGCGTGTGAAAAGTTCCGTACTGCCAACCTGTCCCTCACACCGGAGTTCATTCCTCGCTCTGTGGCTGCCAACGACCCTGACTCCTCAACTTTCGCCTTCGTGGGCCCTGAGCACTACAACGCGTGGGGCGGGTCCTCGGCACTGTACGTGGGCACCACCTTCACTACTGTCGGGGATTATCGCCATGACGTCCCCGCCGTATCCACCAGGAACCTCTATGACCTGGACTACGCCGAATTTTCCTTCTCAAAACAATCTCTACTTCGTATAGACGTCAAATACCGTGACCACTTCTTAGTGCAGTACGTGTACGGCTTCAACGCGAGTGACTATGCCTACTTCGTGACGATGCAGAAGAGATCTCACTTACCAGGACAGGAGGAGTCTGGCTACATCTCGCGTCTGGCTCGCACCTGTATTACGGACGCCAACTATGACTCGTACACAGAGATCACACTCGAGTGTCAAGGAGAGGAAGGCACCAACTACAACCTGGTGCAGGACGCCAAGCTGGTCAGTGCTGGCAGTGATCTGGCCACCACCATGGGTGTGGGCGTGGGAGACCCGATATTGATAGCCACGTTCGCGCCCTCACAAGGACACACATCAAAGTCTGAGACCGCTTCTGCCGTGTGTGTGTACTCTGTGCATGACATTGCTGCCAAGTTTAACGAAAACATTCACATGTGCTTCAACGGGTCCATGTTGTACCGCAGTATGGAGTACATCTCTGGCCCCATCCTCAACGGCAAGTGTCCTGCTGCTGGGGTAAGTACCTAATATTTGTTCTTCATTTAGTAGTAGTAGTAGTAGAAGAAGCGGTAGTAGTAGTAGTAGCAGCAGCAGCAGTGAATTGAGGCTACTATTGTGTTTTATTACCACGTGGACGTGTCAGAGAACATAGTGTTAACATCTGAGACTCTACCTTGTTCTACATGTTTTCAGCAAACATAAACATCACTGACGAACCAATACAAGTCATCGAGAGGGAACAGATAAGTTCATCACAAAAAAACAACTTGATGAGATAGACTGCGGTGGATGTGTGGCTTGAGAACTGGTGGCGGTAACAGTGTGGTTGGCTAGTCGGGAGAAAAAGTACTGTACTCGGAAATGTATCCAGATATACAGACTAATTAAGGGGCACAACAGGAAGCCTTCATAATCAGACTCAATATTCTTTTTCTAAACTAAGATCGTATTTTCTCTCTTTTTCACTCCACACTATTTGAACGGGAGGGCAAATGATCCGAAGCTTCCCGGATCACTTCAGCGGTGTCCCTTCACCTGATAAGAGCGTGAGCAAAAGACTTGATGGCAGGTCCTGACGCTAACCAGGCGCTAATGGCCACGCCTCGCCGCCACGCCTCGTTGCCACCACAAGAAACGGTCTCCTGATGCTCGATCGCTGAAGCCTCCGCAACGTGAGATTAGACAAGGCGTCTGGCGCTCCAATGCCAGCGTTTTTCTGGGCCGCTGTAGTGTCGTGTGATAGGGGTAAGTTGCGGTCGAGTGAAGTGGTGTCTGGAGCGGTTCAAATCTGATATGAAATTCATGGCGGTGTCTTAAATAAGTCTTGGGTTGATGGCTCGGAGACGGTGATGAGTCCCAGGGGATATACACGGACAGCTCTACTGCGTCCCACTACTACACTGACACTACACTGTGCAGACCCGGTGCTGGGTGGCTGCCGCAGGGGTGGTGTTAAGTGGTTGCTGTGGTGTAGTAGTGGTATGGTGGTGGTAGATGGCTGTTACAGAACTTACAGGGATGGTGTGAAGTTTTTGGTGTGGTAGGAGTAGTAGTGGTGGTGATGGTGGGTGTCTCTGTTGTAGGTGGATGAGGTGGTGGTGCATGATAATAGGGAGTACATGGATGAGTGGTAGGTGGAGGAGGACTGGGGGTAGTGTTGGATGGCAGATGAAGAGGTGGTATGTGTGTGTGGTGGTAGGGGTGTTGGAGTGTGGGTACTGGCTGGTGTTTTTGTGGAGGTGGTGTTGGGTAGCGGTGTTTGGGCGACTGGTTGTATTGCAGCTGATATATTTATGAGATGAAACACAAGTTAGGGTGGTGGGAGGGGAAAAAAGGTGGTATGAATCACGGGGATGGGATGGGTGAAGAGGAGGTAGAGGGAGGGATGGAACGTCTCTGAGAACACTAGGGTGGGTTACGACTCTCTTGTCACCCCCCACCCCTCCCTCTCCTCGACCGTGTGTGTTTATATTATTATTGTAACTTGGCTCCCGCGCTTTTTTCTTGTTATTGTTGATTTGGCAAAGTAGCGGCTGAATGGTCTCATCCGCTACACTGTTTTTACTCCCCGCGTGTGTTTATAAAGGCCCCCCCTCCCCGTAACTCGGTTTGTGCTCCTGTGTATGAGTGAATGTTTTTGATGGCGGACATGCTAAGCTTATCACGTCGGGTAAAATGACCAGCCTAATTAATTATGATGTTTATGTCTGTGGTGGATGTGTTGCAAAGGCTGGGTGACGAGGTACCAAAGACCTGGTATGCTTAATGGCTCATAAAGATGTCGTATAAAAAAAAACAGAAAAAAAAAACAGCGGCTATGTACCAGGCCCATAGTCAGGCTAGATGATATGTCTGTATGTATGACTGCTGGTGAAAAACGTCCTCAAAGAACTGTTGGTAAAAGAGGTGGACAGGTGACGGGTTGAGGGGGAAGGGGGAATGAGGAGGGAGTAGTGAAGGGGAGGAGAATGAGGGGAGGGCGTGGTGAAGGGAAGGGGTAGCGAAGGTGGGGAGAATGGGGAGGGCGTGGTGAAGGAGGGAATGAGGAGGGCGTGGTGAAGGGAAGGGAATGAGGAGGGCGTGGTGAAGGGGGAAGAAGGGGAAATGGGGAGGGCGTGGTGAAGGGGAAGGGGGAATGAGGGAGGGCGTGGTGAAGGGAAATGGGAATGAGGGGGAAGGGGAATGAGGAGGGCGTGGTGAAGGGGGTAGTGAAGGGGAGGAGAATGGGGAGGGCGTGGGTGAAGAGAGGGGGAATGAGGTGGGCGGGGGAGGGTGGGGAAGGGGGAATGAGGGAGGGCGGGGGAAGGGGGAATGAGGGGGTGGGGGAGGAATAGATGTGCAGAGGGCGTGTCTAGTCATGAAGGAATCAAGAACGGCATTAAGGTGAGATGGGTGTGGTGACGACGCTGGTGATGGTAGTGCTACTAGTGGGGTTGATGATAGTGGTGATACTAGTGGTGTTGATGATAGTGGTGATACTAGTGGTGTTGATGATAGTGGTGATGCTAGTGGTGTTGATGATAGTGGTGATACTAGTGGTGTTGATGATGTGGTGATACTAGTGGTGTTGATGATAGTGGTGATACTAGTGGTGTTGATGACAGTGGTGATACTAGTGGTGTTGATGACAGTGGTGATACTAGTGGTGTTGATGATAGTGGTGATACTAGTGGTGTTGGTGATAGTGGTGATACTAGTGGTGTTGGTGATAGTGGTGATACTAGTGGTGTTGGTGATAGTGGTGATACTAGTGGTGTTGATGATAGTGGTGATACTAGTGGTGGTGTGAGGTTCTTAGAAAAGTGAGTACTGTGGTGGAGGATGGTGGTCATGGGTGGTCCTGGGTTAGTAAAAAGAACATATAGGAGTATGTGTGTGTGTGTGTGTGTGTAGTGCGTGGCATGGCGTGTGCTGCTTGATGGTGGTATAGTGAGAGAGTGAATTAGTGAGAAAGGCGTGGGCTTGTTAGCTAACCCACGCCTCCATTACTACACATTACAAGGCGGCTGTACATGAGAGGTGTGTGGGTGGGGGCGGCTGCTGTTAAATTTATACATCTGTTTTGATTTGAGAAGAACTTTGCCCTGTGATGTCATGACAGTTCTCTACTCTTCCGATCAATGAAACTTCACGTCATCTATTTTTCTACAGTAATTAATCGTTAAATCTTGTAAGTGGTTTATTTTTCTACAGTAATTAATCGTTAAATCTTGTAAGTGGTTTATTTTTCTACAGTAATTAATCGTTAAATCTTGTAAGTTGTTTATTTTAATTTCCGTCTTGTATATATATTTTTCCTTTGATAATTTGATTTGCCTTTAAAATATTTAGTAATTTATTCATTTTAATATAATATATCTCAGTATCTGCAGTGAATGATGAAAAATTATCCTATTATTCATTATATATTTAATTCATCTCAAAGTTTCTGAAATTGTCAATGGTGATAGTTATTGATTTCATGAGGTGAGGGTTATAGGGAAGGCTTTAACTGAGCAACACACCCACACGGCCTGCTTCTGTGACCTAACCCAACCTAACCTAACCCTGGCTGCTAAGTTTGTGTAGATCGTGTTGGTGTATAACTTATTCCGCTAAACTTGACTCTAAATGTTTCATGGGTCGTGCTGGGAGCCTCAAGTTGCCTTCTCCTCGTCACCTGACCAATGTGGCTGCCAACCCGAGGATTCTTTTGACGACTTTTTCTTCCGGGATTGAGTGAAACTTTGGTGCTTGAAGGTGGCGAAGGAGGGAGGGATGGAGGTAGGAAGATAAAGGGGGTAACTGAGGGAGAGGAGGGAAGAAGGGGCTGATGGAAGGAGGAACGTAGGGAGGGAGGGAAGGAACTGGGGCTGGGACGAAAAAAGATGAGAGAGAGATATTTAACTAAAAAATCACCAGATTATTATTATTATTATTATTATTATTATTATTATTATTATTATTATTATTTTGCGGACGAGGATAAAAGTGTTGGTGTATTTTCCCCAAGGCTCCTGCACCTACTGTACATGTGCGTAATTGAACTGTGTACATGCTTTTGCGAGAGTGGGTGTGGGCGTGTGTGTGTATGCGGGGGAGCTTGTGTGTGAGGGCGTGTTTGAAGGCGTGGGGGGCGTGGTCGTCGTGTTTTCCATTTTTCCGGGTAATTTCCGGTCGTTCTTGTATCTCCGCCATCACCATCAGTAATTTCTCTTCCCCCTTGACTGTTATATACGTGTGTTGGCTTATCTCCGGTATCTCCCAATAGCTTAATTGTTTTTCTCCGTTCGCCCGTGTGTGTGTGTGTGTGTGTATGTGGGGCGTCCGTGATTGCTGTTGGTGTAGGTAGCGTCCGTAAAGTGTGGGTTGGCATAGGTATTTAGCCAAGGGCGATCCAGTATCCGTCCGAAATGTCCTTGACCTGCCATGGTGAATGTAGCTAGCAGTCGGGTCTACCTTCCTGAGTGTCCATGTCTACCGTCCGTGTTTGCCTCCCGTAGTGTCCGTGTCTACCGTCCGTGTTTGCCTCCCTTAGTGTCCGTGTCTACCGTCCGTGGTTGCCTCCCGTAGTGTCCCTGGTTACAATCCGTGTCTGCCTCCCGTAGTGTCCGTGTCTACCGTCCGTGTTTGCTCCCGTAGTGTGTCTATGTCACCGTCCGTGGTTGCCTCCCGTAGTGTCCGTGTCTACCGTCCGTGTTTGCCTCCCTTAGTGTCCGTGTCTACCGTCCGTGGTTGCCTCCCGTAGTGTCCGTGTCTACCGTCCGTGTTTGCCTCCCGTAGTGTCCATGTCTACCGTCCGTGTTTGCCTCCCGTAGTGTCCATGTCTACCGTCCGTGTTTGCCTCCCGTAGTGTCCATGTCTACCGTCCGTGTTTGCCACCCGTAGTGTCCGTGGCTGCCGTCCTTGCGCGGCTGTAGGCCTGAGACTTGGGACGTGACAGAGGCGGGCTGGCGGGGATAACGCTGGAGGTGTTAGCTGCCACCAGACAGGTTTTTCCGACATTAAAACGCGATTTATTTCTTCAGTCAACGTGA